AAGAAAAGAAAAGAAAAGAAAAGAAAAGAAAAGAAAAGAAAAGAAAAGAAAAGAAAAGAAAAGAAAAGAAAAGAAAAGAAAAGAAAAGAAAAGAAGAGAAAAGAGAAAAAAGAGAAAAAGAAGTGCCCCGATATGATGCGAGTGCACTTCAGAAAGCTCTTGAAAACCCTAAACTCACGGTTGTTTTCTCGAGTCAGGAGGGACGAGAGAGCAGTTTGTGCCTTGGGAAGCTCARGAAGGAGCGGGGCCAATTCCCGGGAATGCAGCGCAGCGGGAGCTGGAGGCGGACAGGGCGAGAGGAGAGGGAGGAGGGCTCTTGAGAGCAGTTCCAGGAAATCTGGGCACGCTGGGATCTGCCAGGGCTCCCTCTGCCAGCCAGTGCCCCGCTCTCTGAGGCCGGTGACAGGCAGCAGCAAGTGCGGGTGGAGAAATCTCCCATCTTTCYTCCCCAGAATGAGGTGGAGCAGCAGGTTTTGGGAGAGCAGCGGCTCTGGCTGGACGGGTTCCCATCCCGTGSAGGGGAGGGAGGATGGAGCGGGGCCGAGCTGGATTCCTGCAGCTGGGATGGGATGGATGACAGCGGCACATTCAACCCGGGAAGCGCTCAGTGCACGGATCACAGCTGTTATTCTGACCTGGGAAGCCTTGGAAAGCAGAGGGAAAGGCTTAAAGATGAAAGGAAAAGGACTTTAAAGGCAAAAGGAAAGGTCTTTAAAAGCACAGCCCCCACCCRGCTCTCCAGCTGCCTCCAGCCTCCMGCTCTGACCCTGCTCCATCACCCACCCAGGGATCAGAGTCCCAAACTGCACACGGGACACAGATAGAACTCTGCAAGTAGAGGGTGACCCTGGACGAGCTGTGTCTGAGGGATGGCACTGCCCATGTCACCCTTGAACTCGGTCCCAGCCTTGCAGGCAGCAGCCACTGGCATCGTGCCATGGTCCCGTGGCCAACAGGACCCTGGGGTCCCTCTGGCCGTGAAGCCCTTGGAGAGAGTTCTTGAGGGTCCAGAGAACAGGGACAGCACGGTGACAGACAGTGACATTGGCCCAAAGGCCAGCCCCTTGCCCAAGACCAAATTTCCTTCGTGGGCGCTGTCACACGCGGGATGTGGCCATGCCCCGTTGTCACCACCTCGCACAAACGCCCGTAGTGAGGGTGGAAAGCGCTCCAGGGCATTACAGAACACCCGTGGAAAGGGTGGAAAGTGCTCCAGGGGATTACAAAACACCCGTGGAGAGGGTGGAAAGCGCTCCAGGGCATTACAAAACACCCGTGGAGAGGGTGGAAAGAGCTCCAGGGCATTACAAAACACCCGTGGAGAGGGTGGAAAGAGCTCCAGGGCATTACAAAACACCCGTGGAGACGGTGGAAAGTGCTCCAGGGCATTACAAAACACCCGTGGAGAGGGTGGAAAGCGCTCCAGGGCATTACAGAACACCGTGGAGAGGGTGGAAAGCGCTCCAGGGCATTACAAAACACCCGTGGAGAGGATGGAAAGCGCTCCAGGGCATTACAAAACACCCGTGGAGAGGGTGGAAAGCGCTCCAGGGCATTACAAAACACCCGTGGANACACCCGTGGAGAGGGTGGAAAGCGCTCCAGGGCATTACAAAACACCCGTGGAGAGGGTGGAAAGTGCTCCAGGGGATTACAAAACACCCGTGGAAAGGGTGGAAAGTGCTCCAGGGCATTACAAAACACCCGTGGAGAGGGTGGAAAGTGCTCCAGGGCATTACAAATCACCCGTGGAGAGGGTGGAAAGTGCTCCAGGGGATTACAAAACACCCGTGGAGAGGATGGAAAGTGCTCCAGGGGGTTACAAAACACCCGCGGTGCTGGAGATTCCCTGCGGGGTTTCCCCTGTCCCGGCTGTCCCCAGCCCTTCCCATGCTCTGCTCCCAGCACAGACCCCGCTGTGGGGTTGGTTGTGCCCTCCCTCCACCCCAACTGTTCCTYCTGCACCCCAAACTCCAGCCTGAGCTCAACAGCCACCACACCTTCCTTCCTTTCCCTTTGAAGCTGCTTTTCCATCACCTCTGAGCTTTTCCAGGGGTTTTGAAACCCTTTCCCTGAAACACGAGGGGCACAGCCAAGGGTGGAGGCTGCTGGACGTGTTTTCCTGACCGTGGGATTTAGCAAGAGCTGCCTTTTCCTTGAAACTCCCACCCGTGCTCCCTGTGATGTCAGCACCGGGGAGGGAATGGCCCTCGTGGGTGGAAAAGCCTCATTCCTCGGCGGGTAAAACCTGTGAGGAACAGTTTGGTTCTTCTGGGCACCTCCTGGCGCTGTGCTGCCTCAGTTTCCCTCGTCTCAGGGAGCTCGGGTGGGGCTCTGGGAGGCAGGAATGGGGAAGATGCTCCCTGGGACTACCCAGCCTCGCTGCTGGAGATTGCAGCTGTGGGTTTGAGCTGGCAAATGGGGCTGGAGGGGCAAAGAAGGAAGGAAGGGACCGAGAGCAGCAGCAGGATGATGGGTAAGGTTAGAGAAGGAAGTCAGCGGGCACGGAGAAGGCAGTGTGGATGGGACAGAGGGCACAGATGGGCACTCAGGTGACAGAGCTGTCCCCTTGTCACACTGCCTTTTCCCTCCTGCTGCCATCCCAGATGGGCTGGGTGCTCCTGGCTGGCACAGAGGAGGAGGAGGAGGAGGAGGAGGAGGAGGGCAGTGGGTTGGTGGCAGCGCTGCAGGAAACGGGCTGTAACCACCACTTCTTGCTCTGGCTTTAGAAGGAAACGCCTGGCAGCTCCCCGCACCTCCCAGCGCTCCGTCCCTCCTCCCAGCCCTGCTGGGTGCCAGGCAGCTCTTCCCACGGAGCTTCATCCCTCTGGATGGCTTCCACAGAAGGAATGTTCCCCCCWTGAGGTCCTGCCGTGGATTCTTGCCCCAAATCCTGTCCCAAATCCTTTGGGTCTCACTTTCCCGGGTTTTTTTCTGGCAAGGAAGGGTCTGGCTCATCCCTGAGTGAGGGAACTCCCTCCTTGCAGGAGCAACAGTGAAAAGTGAGTCCCGCTGGCAGAGAGAGGGGATTTGGGAAATCCAGACATTCCCAATGGAAATCCCCCTTGCCCGAGCTGATTTTCCCTGGCTGCWGGAGAGGGGGATACCACCAGGGTCAGTCTCAGATTTTTTTTTTTCCTCGTGRCTCATCCAATCCTGGCAGGACAGGGCCGAGCTGCCAATCCTGCTGTCCTGCATCCCAAATTTCTCCTGGGAGCCTGGTGGCTCCTGGTCCGTCACAGCACCCCAGGACGCAGAATTTACAGCAAAGGCACCTCATTCAGCTGCTTCCCTGTCCCTCGGATCCCGTGGCTTCATCCCACCCCGGGGCTCCGATGCTCCGCTGCTCGGTCCCTCTCTGCACCCACAGGCACCCTCCATCCTTCCCTCGAGGTGTTTGGTGTCGCTGGGTGCGTTCCTACCGCTCATCCCAGTAAATCCTCGCTGGAGCAGGCCGTTCCCAGCTCCTCAGAGAGGCGGCAGAGCCACCCGGGCAGCGGGGATGGAGAATCCCGACAGAGCCGCCCCTGCCTGCCCACGCTGCTCGCTGCTGCAATTCGGGACTGTCTGGWTGTTTCACCATCCCGGCAATAACGGGAACAGCTCCTCTGGACCATCCCTCGCTTCTCAGCCA